CCCCAATGCCGCCCCCCCACCCCTTGCCCTTTTGGGCCCCCCTTTTTGTTTTTTGGGGAGGATCCCCACCTCAAATTTGCTTGGTTTTTGTTTTTTGGGCCCCGGGGGTTTTCTTTTCCCCCAAAAAAAATTTTCCCCAAAATCAAGGGGGGTTTTGTTGGGGGGGGTTTTTCCTTCCCCAAAAAAAATTAAACCCCATGTCCCGGGGGGGCCCATCTTCAAATTTGCTTTTTTTTATTTCCCGGGCCCCGGGGGGGGGGTTCTTTCTTTGGGACCCAAAACTAAAACACATGTTCCCGGCGGGATCCCAGTTTAAAATTGGCTTTTTTTATTTTTTAGGGCCGTGGGGGGGGGGGGGGGGGTGTACTCATAGTCGTGCATGCCGTAGTCGTTTGACCATTGACCTCGCATCCCTACAAAGCCGGGACGGAGCACGCCGGGTTCTCACCGGACCAGGCTCTCACATCACCAAGCGCGAAGCGCCGTGAGGTATTTGGCGAGTCGCATGAAGGGTGAGCTGCATCCTGCTAAGGGTGTTCGGCATCTTGGGCTTACTTCCTTGCGTACGGATGACAGCTACGTATGACTTAATTTATTTTCTGGTGCTTTCACTTCCAGAGACAGTTGTAAGCACTGTGTAACTGCCTGGAGGAAGCTTGACCATTTTAACACAACGTGGTGCGATCATCCCCCGTTGCGCGGAGTGAGGTTTCTCGACCCCGCACAACATGATCTACTCGACCACCATTATGGTTACCGCCAAAAAAAAAACCAGAGGTAAAAAAAAAAGACGGTAACCTGGTTGCCGAGTTCACGAAGTGAATTGGCTTGTTTTACAACGTCGTTGCCAATCGACGAAAACCCAATCCCGACGGCAAACACCGAGTGGGGGGCTTGTTTTACAACGTCGTTGCCAAGCGACGAAAACCCAAACCCCGATGGCCAAACACCGGGGGGGGCGGCTTGTTTTACAACGTCGTTGCCAAGCGACGAAAACCCAACCCCGATGGCAAACACCGAGTGGGGGCTTGTTTTACAACGTCGTTGCCAAGCGACGAAAACCCAAACCCCGATGGCAAACACCGGGGGGGGCGGCTTGTTTTACAACGTCGTTGCCAAGCGACGAAAACCCAACCCCGATGGCAAACACCGAGGGGGGGGGTGGGGGTGTTACTCGTTAGCAAGAAAAATGAAACACATAATCACGGGTAGGTCACAGCTCCAAACTTGGCACTGGGGGGGGGGTCATTCGTTAGCAACATAAACTGAAACACATGATCACGGATGGATCGTTGCTTCAAGTTGGCTTGGTTTTGTAGGGTACTCGATGGGGAGTTATTCGTTAGCGCCATAAACTGAAACATATGATCATGGATGGGATCGTAGCTTCAAGTTGGCCTGGTTTCGTAGGGCACTGGCGGGGGGAGTTATTCGTTAGCAATAAAAACTGAAACACATAATCACGGATGCATCACAGCTTCAAATAGGCTTGGATTGATTTGTAGGGCACGGGGGAGGCGGTTATTCGTTAGCAACAAACACTGAAACACACGATCACGGGTGGATCACAGCTCCGCACTGACTTGATTTGGTTGGGGGGGGGGGGGTTACTCGTTATCACGAAAACTGAAACATATGATCACGGATGGATGACAGCTCCACAAATTGGCTTGGTTTGGTTGTGAGGGGAGTAGCAAGAAAAGCTCAAACAGGTCGTCTTCGGGTTCGTGTTGCCCGTCACCTGTAACAGACAGCTCCCATTGGCGTAATTTTGGTTCTTAGGAGGTTTCGGGGAGGAGGGTACTCGGTCGCACAAACAAACAAACACACACACACACATAGCCTACCCCATGACGCCCGCTCACGGGGTCTCAGATCATGGATTTCAAAATAATTTGGTGTTTTCAGCCGCGCTGAGACAGACGTCTTTTCATCGGTCAGCCGGTTCGCTCGGTCGACGGTAACAATGAAAAGACACACACACATACGTACATAATCGTGGGGAAGGACCGTCACCTGCGACAGACAGCTCCGACTGGCTTGGTTTGGGGATGCTGGGCGCCGGGGGGGGGCGTATTCATGTATTGAATGTCTTAGCCGTTAACCCACTGAGCGGTGTGGGAGGAGCGTTACTCGTTACACAAAGCAAACCTCGAACACAACAAATATTGGGGGTTGGCGTGGCCCGTCACCTGCGACAGCAGGAGGTACCCCCTGAGGGCCTCCTCGCCCGCGGCGCCCCCTTCCTTCCCGAGAAGGCGTTCCTCCTCGCGGGAGAGGCGGAAATCGAAGTGCCTTCGCATCTGCCGCGAAATCTGTTCGTCCCCGCCTTCGTGCCTCTGGCGGAACGCCAGGGCAGGGGACCCTAACCACATGTCCCCGGGGTTGATGACCTTGTGGCGTGGCGCACGATTACGGAGAGGGGGGGTTAGGTCACTGACCTCGCGTTCGGGACGGAGCACGTCGGGGTTTCGCCGGACCAGGCTACCACATCACCAAGCTAAATAAGCGTCGTCATGTTTGCTTGCCTTAGCGGCCACTCCCATTGGCTACGCATCCTGGAGAGGGCAGGGGAGTGGTTGCGGTCTCCATGAGAACAAGTGGAACCTAATCCACATGAAAACGCAAACATTTTTGACGTTCTGCTTGTTTCGTGCGCCGCTAATGGATAGAGCTAGGGCGATAGGCAACCCTTGCCAGACCGGCAGCGAAAAAAAAGCACGTGTTCGGGGAGGTGGAAGAAGCGCCAACCAAACCTGCAAATGAGTTTTGGAAGCAAGCTCCAGACAATGTACCGTACGTTGCATAAGGTATCACACGCCCTGGACCGATTTCCAAATCTCGATTGCTCGGCAAGAAAAACACTGATGGTGCCGAAAATGGCGGCGTTTGAACCGCCTCGTCGAGAGCTTTCCAAAATTGTTTAACTTGACTGTGGGTGGCATCCTCTTCGTCGTGGGGTTGTAGTCGAGCTTTGAAAATCGGTCCAGGGGGCGTGGTATCTTACGCCATGCAACCTACGGCAGTCGCACAGCAGTTGTAGTGACAAGAAAAAAATGAACGCGTTTCATCTGGACCCGCGCTTTGAGGGAAGGCCCCTGAACAGTACATAGTAACTTGTTCCAAGGACCTGTTTCCGCGATATATATCGGGAACCGGGGTATGCGGGACCGCGATATAACTACACGGGCCACTGCTGACCCTGCTTGTACGGGGCCATCGGGTCCGGAGATGAGAAACGTCGAAATCGGGTAGAGGCTCATGACCCGTGTCTGTTTACCCTGTTTTTCGTGAAAAAAAATAAAACCTCTCTTCCTTTAACGAAACATTTCTTGACTAACGGCGGGCCCGTGCTGTAGAGTTTCAGTCCAGCATCCACAGCTGAGCCATGTTTCTCAACCTCATCTTCACATTGTCCGTAAATATCAGAGCCTCTGTTTCTTGCCTATCTTGTTTCATTTAGCTACGGGCCCGTTCTGTCGCCACACCTACCTGCTTGTACGAGGCCACGGAGGGGAAGGACTGCACCCCGTGCTCCGAGACGAACTTGGCGCTGGGCGGTTCCACCAAGGCAAACCGCGGGGGGAAAAACAGGCGTTTTGTAAAAAGCGGACGGCAAGCATGAGTGGGCGTTAGGTTTAGCGCGATGGTGGTGGTAGTTGTTGTTGTTGTTGCCGCTGCTGCTGTTGTTGAAGTTGTTGTTGCTGTAGTTGAGTTGCAAAGCTTGAAGAAACTTTCTTCGTAGCACCAACGGCTTTAGCCACAACGGTAGGGTAGCGGAATAATTTCACTCCGGTTAGCCGAATTATTTGCCGCCCGCATCATCGTCGTGCTTACTTACTTGCCGTCGCGGTTGACACTGATCGTCCTCGACAACCAAAATCAGAAGCGGTTTGCGGTTAAAATCCTTGGCATGACCCCACAAAACAATGAACACCCGAAAGACACGTGGCCTCAATCGGTCAAAAGGCGAAACAAGACCAGGGAGTCTTTTAGCAGAGGCAGGCAGAGGCTTGTGAGGCGTGTCGCCTGAGCGCCACTCACTAGGGGTAGCCGTCGGAATCTTCGCAGTCCATGCCGTAGTCGTAGAAGTGAACGTCACCATACTTCGGATTGTTGGGGTCCCCCCACCTCTTTCCGCCGGGCCCTATCGCACCCCCGTCCCCTGCTGTGGGCGATGGTCTCGAAGTTAGCGTGGTTGTTGTCGTTGTTGTTGCTATTCGTCTCCTTGTTGCTGCTCGTGCTGCTGAAGTCGCTGCTGCTGTAGCTGCTGTAGCTGCTGTAGCTGCTGTAGCTGCTGTAGCTGCTGTGGTTGATGACGTCGTTGTGGTCGGTATCGGTGCTGCTGCTGTTACTGCTGTTGCTGGCCTCGCTGTCGGCATCGCCGTCCCAAACCTATCAAATTCCCCGATCATACCGTTGCTGGGAGAGCTGTCCACCCACGGCGTGAACGGGTCTACCGACCGCACCTTGAAGCCAACAAACGTTGTAATTGGGCGACGGGCGGGGGAGGAGAGAACAATTGGTTGCTGGACAGGCCGCAATGCACACCGTCGACATCGCTCGAGACGCAAACGCAGCCCACCGTTTCTACGCCAAAGAGAAGCACCCCCTGTTGGGCGCTCGTAGGTCTTCGTTCGTTGGAGGGGCCCCGTGCTACGACAAACGAAAAAAACACACGGCGGAAACACATCCTCCTGTACAAGGATCTTCATATCTCCACAAAAAAAAAAACACGACCAAAACAAACGAAAAAACTGGCAAAAACAAGAAAAAACGCGACCGAATGAACACATAAACAAACAAAACAAACAAAAAAAATACTTACCGAATGCGTTGTGTTCTAGAGCACAAGCAAGAACAAAAACATTAAGAGCCTTACCGCGTTCCCGATGGTATCAACGAAAAGGGAGACGTAGTCCCGCTCGTAAGCCTGCCTCCCTGGCTCGCTTGAAGACTCGTTGAACCATCCCAGCGCTTGCTCCACCTGGGTGCCATTGGAGGGGCATAACCCACAAAGGCAGGCTGTTTCGGGGAAGGAGTAGTGAATTATCACAGCCTTCGCTGGCCAAGTCTCAAATACCTTACAGAACGCCCCGCCACTGAAGAACTTGTTTTGAGAGAACTTCGGGTTCGATAAACGACCAGCAGGTATTCCCTACTAACTGCTGCATGGCTTTCATCGCATCCCCTTTGAGTGTGGTACTATCGCGAACGGTTAATCTCGTTCAATTTTGATAAATATTTTCGGGAAAAGACCATCAGAACTTGACCATGTCCACAGGTGCTCGGATGCTCTTAAAAAAAAAAAACAGACGAAACGGCCACACAGAAATCGCGGAAACCTTTGCAGGAGCGAAAACATCCCGAAGTAGAACATGAATACCCCAATGGGAACAAGTCGCCGCCAAGAAAACGTGGACAGATGGGAGGTAGCATGTTACCCACGGTTGCCATGATTCTCAGCGCTGTGCCGATTCTTTCTTGGCCGGCACACGCGCGTCTTGCTTCTCCCGTTCATGGGCCGCATTGTCTAGAGAGCCGCGTATAAGTATAGATTGAGCCGCATTGTGAATACGTTCTAATTGGGCCGCATCGTGAAAGGTTGATCCTCATTTTTGACGCGGCGGGCGCACCTCGTTGTTCCCGCCCCAGCACACCACCGAAGGGTGAGCGCTGAGCCTTCTGACGAACGCCCTGGCCTCCTTGGCCGCCTCTTCCAGAATAACAGGGGACAGGTTTCCATCCTCCGCCCCCGCTGCCGCCGGACCCTCGGAAACCGGCGACGGAACGGCACCATTACTTTTAGCCTCTTCCGTCGTCTCTTCCAGAAGAAGAGGGGACAGGTTTCTATCCTCCCCGCCCCCCGCCGCTAGACTCTCGGAAACCGGGGACGCCACCGCCTCTTCCCGAAGAAGAGGGGACGGGTTTCGATCATCCCCCCCTCCCGCCGGACCCTCGGAAACCGGCGAAAAAGATGCACCGTTACTTCTTGCCTCGTTCTCCGCCATCGTCCCCGCTCTGGCGCGCTCCGGCAGCGGGCGAGAGCTCGAAGGGTCGTCCTGTTCTCCCCGCGCGGTTGGCTCGCCCGGTAGGAGGAGGGATGGAATGTTACCCTCCACCCCGCCGCCGCCGCCGCTCCCACCGCGAGTTCCTTGCGTTGGAGACGAGGATGGTGGTGGCATTGCTGATGTTGGTATTGCTGCAGTGCCGACGGCACTTCGGCTGCTGCCACTGTAGCTTCTGCTTGTGCTGGTGGTGCTGGAGCTGGTGGTGCTGCCACTGCTGTTTCTGCTGCTGCTGCTGCTGCTGCTGCTGCTGCTGCTGCTGCTGCTGCTGCTGCTGCTGCCGCTGCTGCTGCTGCTGCCGACAGAGGTACCAAGACCCGCACTAGCATCATCCCCGCCGTCCGCACTGCCGCCACCACCACCACCGCCACCGACGAAGCCTGGAGCAGAAGGTGGTGGCGCTTCCACGGGGTAGAGGGCACACGCGTAGGGCAGGTCTTGCCAGACCATGAGCCCTAGCTGGTCGCAGGCCGTGTAAAACGATCGGGGCTGGTACACGAGGGGCACGGAGCGGAGACATTTGTAGTTTGCGGCACGGAAAACGGGATGATAGGAAAGGTTTGGACTTGGCGAGGCGGGGCCACGGTTGCGGGGGGGGTCTCTCTCACTGCCCAAGGAGCAACACTTACCCTATGTACCTGGGGGAGCGGATAGCCGAAGACGTCCACAATCTGGAAGCGGGTGGCCGTTGCTAGTGATTTCACCGGCATGTTCAAAGAGGGGTGCCCAACTTTGCTAAACACCGAAGTCAATTGTCTTGAATAGAGTACGGACGAGGAATGCTCTCCAGTGGCACCAGTTGTTGCGTTTACCTCGGCTCGTCAAAGGTGCGCAATCAAGCCAGGAACGGAACGACGCTGATTGCGATCGCACCGGGGTGTCCACCTGAAAGAAAGAACTTAAGCTACTTCAGGACTGAAGTTTAGTAAACGTGTCTGTGTGCACCGCGACGACGACAACAAGAGCAGCAGCGGCGGCAGCAGCAATGGGCCCGACTACACTAAACCCCGGAAAAAAGTTGGTCAAACTCAAAACACACACCACGGGCAGAGACGGAAACGTGTACTTCGTTCGAAGCCAAGGGCCATCTCCCACCCATCTTCATACTGTCCTTCGTGGGTACACGATGACGTTTTTTTTTCTTCTTTTCTTAATCCATGTCTATCTACAGAAAATAGTCTTAGATAGACTAGCAATGAATTCAGAGCACCGCGGAAGGCGTACCAATATTTCTACGATTTCCCAAGCAGCATACGGCGGTAGCTCCCCTGTGGGTAACAGGCTCAACAAGACAGCTTGGTAGGCGTCGTGTGTATCCTTTCTGCACGTTTTGCTGGGAAGGTGTAGAAGGACAATGCAGCGGAGCTCTCACACTATCCTAAAACGAAGCGTGTGGTCATCACGTACGACGAGGTGGTGTTCGTTAGCAACGGATCTCTTTTGCCGCTTATTCGAACTGAAGACAAAAAAAAACAAACCGGGCCGCTTCTGCTGAGTTTGAACGGTCAAACTAGGTAAGAGTTGAGATTGGATTTGGGCTGGTGTGATTTGGTTACATTGCGTCGTTACTTGGGAGATACCTGGAATGATTATCCTAGATTATCTGAGGGTTATTAGCTTAAATCGGGGGTTTTGTCCGAAGCACCATGTATCCGCAGGAGGGAACTTCACCTGAGGTGGACCCCCTCCCCAAACCCGGATCATGTTCATGTTGGCAGTCGCCGCGCTCTCCAGGAGCCACCGCCGCTTCTCCTCCGTGACCCTGGGGAAACCGGTTGCTTCGATGGTTACTGGTACATTACTGTTGGCACTCCTGGTGCTTATTTAGGGTTAGGGTTATCCATCGGCCTCGCTCTCTCTCCTCCCGACAAATCGCTTAACCGTTTGCACTCTTAAATGCTTTGTCCTACCATTCTCTCTCTGTCCATCGATCTCTCTCTCTCTCTCTCTCTCTCTCTCTCTCCGTTGCCGGTGAATAGCTTTCCGTTTGCACATAAAAATTGTTTAGTTCTACTTTTCTCTCCTGGCGGTAAATCTCTGTACCATACCTCCAACTACCCTAAAATTCGCCCGGATACTCACCGGGGGGGCTTTTCTCTTTCGACAACCATCACGCCTGCTGCCAAACAGCGAGTGATATTTAGGACCGTTTAATGCAGCAGCTATGTCGCTTCCAAATGTCAAAATTTCCAAATCCGAAGACCGTTGAACCTCGATGTGCGGCCGAGGGAACAATTTGGAGGTTATGAAAAATTGGAAATTACAGGCACCAATACATGTTCGTTTCAAATTTTCAATTTTCGGAAAGAAATTGGAAATCTGGAACGTCGGAATTCGGAAATTTGGAAATGTGAAAGCAAAATCGACGGTCCTTGGTGCCTTACCTCAGGCGGCCAAAAGAAAAACTGAGGGAAGAAAAAAGCAAATTTGCAGAGGGGATGGACTTACCTTTGTCCCCAAGCATCGGGCGGCACGAAGTTGGAGCCCCGCGCGAACACGTCGACCCCGTTCACTCGGAAGTACATTGTCTCTCCACCCCCCCCGGGCCCCTCGTCTCTTGTGGGCATCGTGTGTCTCAAATCTTGCCGCTGCCCATGCTGCTGCTGCTGCTGCTGCTGCAGCTGCTGCTGCCGACGACGACGACGACGACCGTAGGGAATAAGGAGAAAAGAATGACGGAGGTCGACGAAAGCACTCAGCCGCCAAAGGCTCATTCCACACATACGTTGTGAATATTGTCTAGATTTGCCGATAGATATTTTATTCTATCAAGACGCTACCCATTGAACAGGCCACATCCATCGCTCGAGGCATCGTAATTTGCTGGTCAGCGAGTCCCCCCCTGCACGGCAGTTTGATACTCCAAAAATGTCCATCACCATACCGGGGAAAATGGAAAATTGCAGGCACGGAATCGGTCTCCCATATCGATCAGACCGGGGGAGCAAGAGTGGGAGAGATGATGGCAAAACGTTGGAAGAAAAAACGGTTTATCTCTGTGCATGCAAGTTGATGAAAGTTGGGCGGCAGGGGCATGGTGATTGTTCACCTGTAGGGTGAGCATAAACTCTTTTCCAGGGGCATGGTGAACGTTCACCGGTAGGGTGAGCATTCACTCTTTACATACCTCTGACGTCGCTCCCGCTGCCGCCGCCGTTCCCGCTGCCGTCCCCGCTGACCGTATCACGTCCCCTCCCCGACCATGCTCTGCCACCACTCCCGCTGCTGCCGCCTCCGCCGACCGCATCACACCTTGCCCCAGGCCGCCCCCTGACCCCTCTCCCGCCGCTCCCGCCGCCGCCTCTGCTGCCGCTCCCGCTGACTGTGCCACATTCCCTCCCCCGTCACTATTCCCTGCGGCCGCTCCCGCGGCCGCCGCCGCCGCCGCTATCGGGACCCGGACCAGCTCGACCTTTCGCAGGCCGATGGACCGGCGGACGCTGCTCTGCGGGGCAACCTCGCCGGCTCTACTGTTAGCACGATTTACGCCGGTGCCGGACCTCTTGACGACACCGTCACCGGACTTTTCGTCGGCATCACCTGTGGTAGAGCATTCGGGGGGCGAACAAGCATGTTGACGGGCTTTCGTGTGCTACAGTAGTGTCCCGCTGTAAAAAAAACGATTTTCACGACGTCTTGCAGGGTTATGGGGTGGGCGGCAGGCGCGTGTGACCAAGAAGGTAGTAGTGGCAGAGGCAGAGGTGACGCCAACGCTTGCATGAACAGCACCATGCGCATCTGATTTACCGTCGGTACTAGCAGAAAACACCAGCACCAGCGGAGGCGGCACCAACACTCGCACTAACAGCACGATCCGCGTCTGAGTTACCGCCGGCACTACCAGAAGCAGCAGCAGAGGCGACGCCAACGCTCGCACCAAACAGCATCACCCGCGTCTGGCTTACCGTCAGCACCGTCGCCGACGGCAGCGGCGATAGCAGCACCGAGACTCCCGCTTCCAGCACCAGGGTTTCTTGCAGCTGCTGCCGCGGTTGTTTCCGCATCCACAGACATAGTTGCTGCGGCCGCTACACAGGGGTCCGAACCGGATACGGGAACCGCGTCTCCGAGGAGGGGACACGAAGCATCCGTCCCCGGGTACCAGTCGACCCGAAGAGTGTACAGCGGCTGCTGCTGCTGCTGCTGCTGCTGCTGCCGCGAACGGCCCATCCCCCGCGGCCACCAGAGGCGAGGATCCGTAACTGTCATTTTCGCCCGAACCGGCCAGACCGCTTCCCCCGCCGTTCTGCGGAGGTACCGGTTGCCGGCACGACTGCTCTTGTTGTCGGCAACCCCGGGCTGAGCCGGCGCAGGTTCCGCCGCTTCGGCCATCGCAGCAGCGTCATCGTCGTCAGCTCGAAGGACAAGGGGCACGCAAGCTTCGGCCACCACGGTGTTCCGGCCACCGCCGCCGCCGCCGCTGCCGCCGCCGCCGCCGCTGCCTTCCTTATTATCAGCTGGGTCAGACAGGGAGAAAAACACCACACCTCTCCGGAGATCGTCTGACGATGGAGGATAGGCCGCAGGCACGGGGCCGGGGACATCATCATCAACCCCCTCCCCGTCGACAAACACGCCTCCTCCTCCTCCTCCTCCTCCTCCTCCTCCTCCTCCCTTGTCCCCGACCGGGCTGCCCCCTCGCCGCCCGGGCTCTTCGAACCCGTCTAGGAAGGCCGTCACGGTGATCTCCACAACGCCAAAGGTGTTGTCTTTTGCGGCAGCAGGCATCATCAGCATCAGAGGGCAAGGAAAGAGGGTTGATTACGATAGGTTTCATGACGTCAGATACCGCACCCCCTGCTGGACCGAATTTCAAAACCTCTATTGTTCCACGAAGAAGAGTACGCTGACGTCAAAATGATACATTTTCGGGAAACTCTTGATGAGACGGTTCCGACGCCGCCGTTTCCGGCACCATCGCCGTATTTCCTGTCGAGTTATCGACCTTTGGAAGCCGGTCCAGGGCGTGCGATATCCTATGCAACCTATACGGTAGTGCTAGCTAGCAGCAGCGGGAGGGGCGGCGGTGGTGGTGGTGGGTTTTTGCAGCGGTGCTGGAAGTCAGGGTTGAGGCGCCAGCCGCGATAGCGGGAGAGCCGCCACGTGTAGACGTAGGAAAAGCAGGACCCGTGCTCAGGATACCGTTGTCCCTACGATAAGAACACTTCATGTATTCTTCAAACAAAGCGTCCTTGTAGGGGGAGGCGTACTCATGTTTTGCATGCCATAGGTGTTGCAGGCCATTGGCCATCCGCCCTCTAGAGTTTGCTGCCACAGGACCGATCACCGACGGCCAACCGTTACGTCCTTTTCTAGACGGGGAAGGGAGTGTTCATAAAACGAGTCGCCCCTAGTTATTTACATGCTGCGCGGGGCACCATGCTTCTGAAAAAAACGGTGCCCTCAAACAACGGGACGACTCATGTAGATACGGAAACTGTAAAAGCGGCAGCGGCAGCGGCAGCAGCAGCAGTAGCAGCAGCTGGTCCTACCTTGGTGAGCCGTAGAAGGTGTCCCCCAGTCTTGCGCCACGGCCACGTCGGGTAGCAGGCGGCCCGTGCTTGTAACCGTCAGCGAAACGGAACCCGGGAGTCCCGCCGGCACGAAGGCTGGCCCCCAATCCCACCTGTGGGTTCATTAACATTTTTCGGCAGTACGTGGGTTATGTACAGAACGTCCCACCACTTCAGAACCCAGGAGTAAAAAATATGAGTCTCAAAAAGGTTTAATGCGAAGTGCATTGTTTGTGGAATAAAAAACAGTAATTTAGCATGCACCCCTGTGTACCTAACATGGTCGGGAAAAACGCCAAGACTCAGCTAGACAACTACAGCAGCAACAGCTACGCCACCAACAAGAATATACGCAGCACCAGCAGCACCAGCAACAACAACAACAACCAACAATACTGACAACAAGACTTTACACAAATACTCCTTGTTACTCACCCGAAATCCGCCCCCGCCTTTCGAGCAAAGTTCCGGTGCGCCGGCTCGGCCCAGTCTCCGAAGAAAACAGAGTCCGGCACTGGCTTCCGGCTAGCCGCGGCACGCTCCCTTGCTTCCACAAGCGCCGACCGTATAGTCACCTCGATGGTGGAAACCTAAAAAAAAAGCACAACAACTTGTCCGATGTCATATCCCTAAGCCGAGGACGAGCGGGGGTGGGTGGGCAGTACGAAGGGGGGCGGGGTGCACACCCCTGTACTTTGCTTCCGGAAGCGCTGACCATACCATAACCCCGATCGCGGACACTCCAAAAAAAAAAAAACAAGAGGACGACGGGGTTCACTCGTTTGTTTCATGAAGCGTTATGTGGCCTCATTGACCGTGCAGCCCTTTCGGCAAGCAATACTGCTGGGTTTTTTTGCCACTCTTGCGAAGCCGCCTCTAACGCTACACTCACGAGGTGAGCCAAAGTTTACGCACGAGCTACAGCATGTCCGTGGTTGATTGCGACGCACGCCCAGGGGAATGAAAAATTTGCCCTACCGTGTTGCACCTGTTTTGTGAGAAGCTCCGATAGGATGCCTCCGCTCAGGGCAAACGTTGCTGGCATGAATTGGTTGGACCACCTGCTGAAAAAATAATCGAAGAATTCAGAAGAATCGACGGCAGATTAGCGGTGTGAACTGAACGTACAGCTGTGTTGGGGAAATGAGAAACAAGTCATTACGCCAATGGCTTGTCGGGCCGCTTGCTGATGAAAAGATCAAGCATAAAACCGAAGAAGATAATCGGTGTTGTTGTTGTTGGTGGTGGTGGTGGTGGTGGTGCTGCTGCTGCTGCTATTGCTGGTGATACCTGGTTGTTGTCGTCGCCATTTTGGTCGCCATTGTGGTCGCTATCGTGCTTGGTATTCTTGTCCATAGACCTTGCCAAGGCCCCAATTGACTTCAAATTTGTGCTTTTCTCCACAGTAGAGCTCCCCGTTAGTGCCGGTGCCCGATATAGTGCCGGTGTTTTCGACGGGCACACACTGAATTACCCATAATAGTAGTTGTGCACTTTGAATGGTGCCGGCCAATTTTCTGGACACCTACCGGCACTTTCCTTTACTGCTGTACCAGAATTAGTCTCAAAAGCGCAGCATGTTATTTATGATCTGTCTGCCCAGGTCAAGCGTACCTCCCAATCTCCTCTCCGTTGACGCTGACGGTGGCGAACGTGTCGATGCCTTCGAACGTTAGCAGGCCCACCGCTGCTGCTGGTGCCTCCCCTCCCTCATGAGCCGATGCACGCCTTACGCGTCCACCGCAGTCACCATCTTCGCTACCGCCGCCGTCGCCGCCGCTGTCCACACAACCACCGCCGCCGCCGCCGCCGCCGCCGCCGCCGCCGTCCCTTGGCGGATCAACGACCCAGCACGCTCGGGGCAGCGTGAGCACGTACGTCCAGTCCGTGAGCGCAACCCAGCTGTACGCCAGCTCGTTGGTGCCGAAGTACGGGTCTCCCTGGTCGAGCACCCCTGCTGCCAGCAGGTCCTAAGTTGTGTGGGGCGACGGGACACGGTTGTACGTGGAAGGAGAAAAGAAGAGCACGGAGGAAGGGGTGCACACTTGAAAATGAGAGCGAGAAAACACAACGTGGATGGGTGCGGCATCGGTTGATTGAGTTTGGTACACTGGTGCTTGCGCAGTCCGCCCTTAGAATCTCTCTCTGCCTCGGTCTGTTTTCCGTCTCTGTCTCTGTCTGTCTCTCTGTCTCTCCGTCTCTCTGTCCCTCTCTCTCTCGCACTCGCTCTCTCTCTCTCTCCGTCTCTCTTCTCCCCCTTCCTCTCTCTGCTGCTGTTAGAGATTAAGAGGTTCAACCGTTCTCGTGAGTACGTCTATAGTACTTTGATCGTCAGGAATGGGGACGTTTCTCCCCCCCCCCCTCCGGTTCTTCGAGAATATCAGCAGAGAGAGAAAAAAAACATGCAAGAAAGTGTCCACCTTCCATCACTGTTGACGAGCAACCGAATATCAACCCTTGCGCCAAAAGCCACGCGGTGGTGATCAAGCAACTGCTGTTACGGTGCTCCGATCCGCGATTGCTGTGATGCCACTGGTTTGTTTTCGAATAATGTACATATCCGCAGGCCTTTTTGCTCAGGACCATTGTTTTCTTGGGGGGGTCGCTGTGGCGCTGATCTCTTCGCAATGCCTGCTCTGGGCGCTCGGCCGGATACTGTAGGTTGCATAAGATATCACACCCCGTGGACCGATTTTCAAAGCTCGATTACACCACACGGACGAAGAAGATCCCGAAATCAACGCATACGTTTTCGGAAAGCTCTCCACGAGACGTTGCCAACGCCGCCAGTTTCGGCGTTGATTTCAGGGTTGTTGTTCCTGCCGAGATATCGAGCTTCGAAACTCTGTCCAGGGGTTGTGATATCTTACCCAACCTACAGGAACGCATTGAGAGCACCGATTGGCCCGGAGGGAATCCCGCCGTTGGATCACTCAACCATAGAGTTGGCGTCAAAGGGCAGTACGGACACAGCAGTCAATCCAGAATTGTTTCGACCTAAGATCCCAGGAGGCGTATCAGTAGCCTTCACAGAGTTGTTCTATGACGTAAACATGTTGGATAAAACATGCAATCGGGGAAGTTGGTTACTTTGGTCGGGGGGGGGGGGGGGGGGGTATCTTTCGTCATGTTGCTTTGGTCGACTCCCTCACCAGATGCACGTGTCCAGGAACCGTGGCCGGCACCGCGATCGTTCCGTTGTCGTTCCTGAGCGTCCATGAGAGCTGTCCTAGCGGCGGCGGCGGCGGCGGCGGCGGCGGCGGCCTGGCACGGCCGCTGCTGCTGGAACTATCCTCGCCGCCTGCTGCTGCTTGTCTCATTGCGCCATCACGGGAACAACGCTTGTCACCGCCACTGCCGCTGTCGAGAGGCACATCTAGAAACACTGCTGCTCCTAGCGTCGGTGCTGCCACGACAAGCAGCAGCAGCGTCAGGCCGGCCCCGCAGCTGCTGCTGTTGTTGCGCGTCATTCCGCGATCTTTGTTGTCGAGTCCGGCGGGTGGGAGCGGGTGTTGGGAAGGTAGGAGATATGTTCAACTTCACTCGCTGGGTGTGCGTTTTGCAAACCTTTCAGGTGATTATCCAGGGCGCAGCGATAATCGACAGCCCTCCCAGCCCCGAGCCCTTCCTACAGCTGTCTTGGGTGCTTATCTGCACAGCAGTGTTTCCTCCTGTGTTCTTGCCATGTACATCTGTACACATGCGAGCCCGCCCTCGTCCATCTCCGAAGCTCCTGCTGCAGGTGCCCGTGACGATTGCACCATTACACCACAACACATACGGCACTCAAACTAGACCAGGTGGGCACGCTCGAGTCACCGCATGCCAACAGGGAAAACGCTGTTTCTCTCTTGCAGCAGGAGCTACATAGACGGGTCGCCAACGCAAAATGAATACTTGTTGCAGGAGCCAGCTCGCTGCTATCCACAGGGAGGGGTTGGCAAAAAGTGGCGTTATTGCAATACCCCGGTGCTGTCACCAACAGCCAATCAGATTGACAGATTACATGCAGAAAAAAAAGGAAGTGGTGTCCTCCCTGCCGTCGAGGGAGGGTGCAATCAATTCGCCCACGCGGGAGGGGGAAGAGGGGAAGGAGGTCCGAGTACGTGGGGGTCGTGGTCGACACCCGCTGAGCTCTTCGGGGGAGCGGGGGAAGGAGAGGGCGCTCGCATGGGTAAGCGTCGTGGTCGATGTCGTTGTACAGTGATTGAAGTTGCTCACCTGGATCTCACAGGCGGATCGATGCCCCTCTTGCCGAGGCAGCCTCCGGCTCCTGGCGTTCAGCGTTATACGTACAGCGTCTTTCGCCTCAGATTCCTCTCCCCGCAAGAGGTCTCCATTCGAGCAGTGCTTGGAGTTAGCATCGCGTTGTGTGAAAAGTTGATGATATTCGTTGTTGGCGCTTGGAATGTGTATCGGTGAATTGTTGTCCCTGCTTTTTTTTAAATAAGAAAAGCCCGCTGCCCAAGAAGGGCAGCTCGGAGATTTGTTCGGAGATTCACACACCAAACGCCACGACGACTCGGAAAGCTGGAGAGAGGAGGGGGTGGGGGGCTCGGACTGCTTTAAGCGGGTCGCAGAGGCGGTTGGCCGAAGAATGGAGGCCTTAGCTTTGCCTTAGTTTTTGCTCTCTTTTCCCAGCCGCAATTAGACCCACACAGCAGCACGGTACCTAGATATCAAGATCTCACCTCTTTTCTTTCTATTCCTTTTTTGAAAGGCGCCGGTTTTAATTTATTTGCCGAGACGGGGGGTGATCGGCTCGTTCCTGCACAGGCTGCCTACTGTATATGTACGTATGCAAGGCCAGGAGCATGAGGATTAGTGAGAAGTGAAGCATCGACGAAAGCAGCTGAGCAATCTTTGCATCTTAACTGGACGAAAGGCGCTGTAGACTTGGTACAGTACTACTTTTGTTCTCTTTCGCCACACAATACAAACGGTTGAAGTCGTTGGGATGTGCGGTCGCTGTATGTACATGGATCCATCGTGATACCGTGATCTCGCCTCACGATGGGAGAACCCCCGGTCTGGATTAAGAAAGAGAATGCTCGAAGCTTTTCACCTTCTTTTCCTCTGCGATACGTACGACGGTGGTACCCGCCTATCAATTTATTTTGTCGTTGACCCAGTAGAGAGTAGAGAACTACAGGGGATGTATTGCAAAATGTAAGTGTAGTGTATACACATGTTTTTGTACTTAGCACCAGCTGGCATTACTGATATAAATCATCTGTGTATAGACTTAAAAAGACTCGAAATAAGTCCAGTACCCAGCCGTTTATCCTCCACTCACTGAAAAGACTCCACCACATCCGTTCGACTGTGGGTGTATCTCGAATGGGTAGTCTTTCTGTGTGTGTATTTATGATTCCTTAATTTGTCAACGACGACAGTTTCATCCTCGAAATTTTCATGCACTGCCTTGACTGACGAACAAACACGCCGTTGCTGCTGTGTAGCATATGCATACCGTAGACGACACAAGATAACACACCCCGGTAACAACATTTTGGGCTTTAAAAATATTTATCACCGGGTGTGGTATCTTGTGTAGCCCGGGTGATGAAGCAGCTCGCAGGGGCCCCTGAGGGGGTGTGATAAACGAGGGGGTGTGATAGCACGTCCGAACACGCACAGGGTGTGTTTGGGGTGTGGTAAATGAGGGGGTTTGACAAAAAGGGGGTGTGATAGCACGTCCGAATACCCACAGGGTATGTTTGGGGGTGTGATAGTGGGTGTTTGTGATAAAAAGGAGGTGTTACAACACTTCTTGTAGAGTTGAACCGCTGCTGCCGCACACTTGGTGGGTATTGCGGGGGTGTGATAGCAATGCCTGTAGGAACACTTCATGACTTGTGGTTCTGCGGAATGTGGTAAAACAAAGGAGCTCAGCGGAGGTGACGAAACTCCTGAGCAAATGACTCGTTGGCCACAGAAGGCGCCATCCATCCTGCCCCTCACACAAAAAAGTAGCCTCCTGCATACCTTGCTACTGGGTACGACCAAAAGAGAGTTACGCAGATGTTGTGTGTGTGAGATGCCCACATGTCCACTGGGCAGATGTTCTATCACCCCGGTGATAGCAGGAGGAGCCCCGTGAATGTATGCGGCGTAACCTCAGGGGTGTGTTATCTTATGAAGCCCCGGTGATAAATCGGTGGTTTGTCAGACACCCCCAAATTATCACCGGGGTGTCGTATTCTGTGGGGGGGGTGGTTTCTTATGTGGGTGTGTTATCTTGTGTCGTCTACGGTTGTCTACATGTGTGTCCTGGCATCTTTTGGATGACCGACCACGCCGCAAATAATACTGTACCCCGGATCAACCGTACATTTCAGCCGCCGTCTTGTGGTACCACCTACTGCTGCAGTGAAAACAGCTGATGGTCTTGCATACCGGTCGTGGCTCCAGTACCGTATGAAATTACGCACGGACCAGTTCATCATCTTCCGTGCTGTGGCAGCTTCATAGCTTCCGTGGTCATTATTATTTTTCTTCTGTGAAATAAAGAGCGAGGTATTTTCAGAAAGTAAACTTAACCTCACAGAAAGACTACCCGTTCGAGATATAACCTCAGTCGAAAGGTGTGTTGAAGTCTTTTCAGTGAGTGGATTGAAACCGACTGGATACTGGGCTTATTTTTTGCTTGTGTGAGCCTCTTCGCTGAGTTATCAGTGATGCCGGTTGGTGCCTAGAACAAAAGCATCTGTATTCTAATAGGTGGATACATTCTTAACACGTCCCCTATAGTTCTCTACTGGGTCAACGACAGAACTATCGGGGAGAAGCTCTACGCTATGTCGGGTGTTACAGAATGTGGCCTTCACAGAGAACACCGCGCAGTGTGTCGTTTGACAACTTGCTGTCTGTTTTTTAGAAGTACTTCGTACTGTTTTGTTGGGACTATGTTGAATCTAGACTATGCCTACAATACAGCAGTATTTCTACCAGGGAGATGTGCTGCTCGGGGAAGCGTAGAAATACAAGATTGTTGCTGTTGTTGTTGTCTTGACATTAAACAACCGTTCCGGTCTCCCCGCTCGGTGCCTTCTCATGTCCGTACTATACTATACTATAGTATACTGTACTATACTATACTATACTATACTATACTATACTATACTATACTATACTATACTATACTATACTATACTATAGTATAACAGTACAACTGACGCAGACGGCTTGCGTGGTCACAAGCCAACTACCCCCCAAAGGGTGGCGTCATAAATGCAACACATGGTGAATTCAGGGATATCTCCGTAACCCCGCCGTGTGCTTAACTAGCTTGTCACGCTCTCTCGATTTCCCCGCATGGCCATCTATCTATGTGCCATGCCATACAGAACGTGCCGCCGCTAAAGAATTAAGCGGTGAAGAACTTGAGCCTGAAAACATTTATGGCGAAGAACGTGCATGGGATGTGTAATGAACTGTATCCACCTATGTGTGCGGGATAACTTCTTTTGTGCGCCATTGTTCTATACGTTGGTGTGGCGGGTTGGATCGATCTACCCTCTCATGCTCCAAGTGGGCGGGGTGATGGGGGTGGAGTATACGGGCAAATATGACTCCACCGTGATAATAGGTAGAACCAACGCAAGAGTATTACAGTCGTGGGAGGCAGCAATCTTGGCGTAAGAGGTTCGATGGCATGCATTCATTGGTGCAAACTTTCTCTGTTAGGTTGTTGTTGAAGGCACCATCTTAACTCACGCCCCCCACCCCCCCCGTCGCCGCGCCGCCAGACAACCAACAGGCGCAGTAGAGTGTCGTGTTTCTCGACGTGCCCAAAACGACGGGATCGAGAAAACGTTCATCTTGAGACCCTTTTACTCATCTCCCCCCTGTACATTGTTTGAAACGTTCACTTTGAGAGTCTCCAACCCCCCCCCCCCCA